TGAACCGTTCCCTGGCAATGCGCCAAAAACTTGATGTGTATATAAATGCATTGGTTTTAGTCCTACTTTTAAGATATATTAGACACACAAAGGCAGTGGACCTGTCAATTGGTGGTATAGTTTAGTAAGCAGGGTATCACACACGGGGAACGGTAATTAAACAAATGACTAGACTTATCTAAAACAAGTAATAAAAGTGAAAGGTTTTCTCTAGTTTTACAAGACTAGAAACTTAAACAATTAACTAACACGTAAATTAAGTAACTAACAGCTAAAGCAAGTAAAAACCAACTAAATTCAATAATAAGAAGACTTCTGTTTAGGTTCGATTCATTTACTCCTATGGTTGATTTTATGGCAAGTGCAATGGATTAATTGTTATTGGCTACCGATTAAGGTGATTAGGTTCACATTCGTTATTACCAATCCTTAGAAAACAGATAATTTAAGCAGTGATCAAGTGATTAAACTAATAAATTTCCTAGTTTATTTATTCGGGTTAAATAAGACTTGTAGTTAGCTAATCAAATTACTAATTCAATTAACCTCTTGTTGATGATTTGTCACACAAGCTCACACATTAATTTACCCATTTTCTAGTTAACCCTAGTTTCACGTTCGCTATTCCTAGGCACATAACAATGTTTTCACATAAATCATATGAGATAAGCAATTAAGAGATGTTCATACAGCTTAATTACTTGTTAATTAACAGAAAATAGTTGTGGTTAATGCATAAGGTTCTTTAACAAGCTTAATAAAACAAACTCACCAATATTCAATTAATCCAACCACAAATCAAACCATAGTCATAAATTCATCTACCCTAAACAAAACATATAAGGTTTAGCTGATGATTACAGCAGAAAGTAACTCAAAAACAAGATCTAGTAGTTCACACATGGTTCAAACAAGAGATAAAGTAAAGAGTAAACTTAGATTGCCTTTAATCTCCTTGAAATCGAAGGTTAGGGTCTTCTCCACGAATTCCAGAGCTCCAGATGCACCTTTAGTCGCAAATTAATCCCCAAGGGTTCCAGAGAGGGGTTTGGTTTCGGCAATTGGCTTTAGAAAACAGGGGCTACTTGCCGAGTAGATAACCGACTCACCGAGTCCCCTATTAAAAATCCGTGTAAGGAAACAACTTGTATTTTCTTCGCAAACATTCGCGTGGACTCGTCGAGCAGACATCCAACTCGCCGAGTCCTTCAGATTTTGACTTTTTTTCTTCTTTCTTCACTTCCCAGTTCCGATTGCATTTCCCACTTCTTTTTGCTTCCGAGCACATCTTCTAGACTGAAAATACAATTTAAACATAATTTAGTATCTTTTGTCCATAAATTGCAAGAAATTAGCCAAAAAGTAATAAAATTCTAATCGAAATGTATAGCTAAATATGCACATATCAGACGTTTAAATAGGTCACAAGTCCGGATATTAGGGTTTTAGTCCTGAGCCACGTACACCCCTTGTACTGCTTGGTACGTCCCGCGTACGTGGTGCACACTCGCGACCAACTTCCCTCAGTACGCTAAGCGTACACCTATGTACGCCTAGCGTACGTAGGGACCATTTTGCAAAAAATTCCATTCTAGTGGAAAAAGAGTAATTACCTAAACCTTGATCGTTACAAATCTCCCCCACTTGGACTAGACTTCGTCCTTGAAGTATGCTGAAGCGAATAAGCCTAGGTAATGCTCTCTCATCTCTTCCTCTGACTCCCAAGTCCATTCGGAGCCCCTCCGGTGCTGCCATTACACCTTAACCAGCTTCACCCACTTTGTTCTGAAGGGCTTTAGTTTTTCAATCCAAAACTGCAATGGGCTTCTCCACATAGTTCAGGCTCATATCCACTTGAATATCATCCAAAGAAATAACTACAGCCTCATCTGCTACACACTTCTGGAGCTGAGACACGTGGAAGGTGTTATGGATCTGAGAACCTTGCCAACCCGGGCAGAAATCCTGAATGGACCAATAATCGGGGCCCCAACTTTCCCCTCTTCCGAAACCGGATGACACCCTTCCAAGGTGACACCTTCAGCAAAACATAATCTCCCACCTGAAACTCGAGATCCGAACGACGCCGGTCAGCATAAATTTTATGACAGCTATACGCGACTCGCAGCCTGTCGCGTACCTGCTAAATCAACTCGGTACCTGCTAAATCGAACATCGCGGTCTAAGACCACTGATACCGGCACTCCGTTCCTGACCACCTCCTCCCGCACATAAATACTTGCTAATTTTTCGGTCGAGATACTCTCGGAAATCGGAATAAAGTGAGCACTCTTGGACAACCTGTCCATAATAACCCATATAGAATCAACACCGCGCGCCGTCCTGGGCAATTTTGTGATAAAATCCATGGTGATATCCTCCCATTTCCACATGGGGATGAGTAGCGGCTGAACCTTTCCGTGAGGTCTCTGATGCTCGGCTTTAACCTTCCTGCAAGTCAAACACCGCTCAACAAATCACGCAACTTCCCGCTTCATGCACGGCCGCCAATAGCTTAATCTCAAGTCTCGATACATTTTCGTGGCCCCAGGTGGATAGAAAACTTGGACCTATGCGCCTCCTCTAGAATCTTGCCTCACTCCCCCAAATGTCGGAACCCAAACCCTGCCATACTGAGTCAATAATCCCCGGCCGTGTCTCGAACAAACAAAGGAATCTGGCCCCTGATCCGCTCGGTCTTCCAATTCTCATTCTTCAATCCCTCTACCTGTGCCCCTTGATCATATCCATCAGAGGTGAGATAACTGTCATCCTCAAGCAAACATCTCGGATCGGAGCACTTGTCGCCTTGCGAATCAAAGCATCAGCCAGTACATTGGCCTTTCTGGAATGATATAAAATCTCGCAGTCATAATCTTTTACCATATCTACCATCTTCTCTGCCTCATATTCAAATTCTGATGATCCATCAAATATTTCAAACTTTTGTGATCAGTGAAGATGGTGCATCAGACTCCATATAATAATGCCTCCAAATCTTGAGGACAACACCACCGCCCCCAATTCCAAGTCATGAGTGGGGTAATTCGTCTCATGAGGCTTCAACTGCCTCGAGGCGTAAGCAATCACATGCCCCCTCTACATCAGAACAACTCCTATAATAACCCCGAAAGGTCACACTCTTCTTGGTCAAGCGGGTCAAAGGTATGGCATCTTGGAGAAATCCTGGATAAATCTCCGATAGTACCCCGCCAAACCTAAGAAACTCCGGATCTCGGATGCGTTCTTCGGAACCTCCCAATGCATCACCACCTCAATCTTGGATGGATCCACCAAGATACCCTCTTGGTTGATGATGTGCCCCAGAAACTGCACCTCACGCAACCAAAACTCGCATTTCGAGAACTTGACATATAGCCTCTCCCTCCTCAAGGTCTCCAACACCTCCCTCAAATGCTGCTGATGTTGCTCCTTGGTCTTAGAATAGACCAAAATATCATAATAAAAATGATCACAGACCGGTCCAACATCGGCCTACAAACCCGGTTGTGAGATCCATGAACGCCGCTGGAGCATTGGTGAGCCCAAATGGCATCACCACACAAACTCGTAATGACATAACGAGTTCTGAAAGCCGTCTTCGGTATATCCTTATCCCTGATCCTTATCTGATGATACCCCGACCGAAGATCAATCTTGGAAAACCAAGATGCACCCTGAAACTGATCAAATAAGTCACTAATCCTCAGAAGCGGATAACGGTTCTTTACCGTTAGGTTTGTTCAGCCCCGATAATCAATGCACATCCTGTGCGACCCATCATTCTTTTTCACAAATAAGATCGGTGCTCCTCACAGGGAACTGCTCGGACGATTAAATCCCATCGATTGTTATAATTTTGAATACACAATGTAAACGGCTCTATATAAGATAGGCTGACAATTGTATATTCCATAAACTGAAGCTGAATGTTGTTGCTGGAATCTTAAAAAAAAATGATTTTCTTTAAAATTTTGTATGATTTTTTATTATTATTATAAGTTTCGAAAACTTCTTGTAACATTAAATACGATTTTTTTTATTAATATGTGAATCACCGTATATTTTTCAGAACTATAACATGGTCAAAAACTTCTTAAGTAATTCTATAATTTTAGTTGTATATTTCAAACTACATATATTTGTTACATAATTATATTATCGCTATATTATTATTTATTTATTGATTTTTAATCGAAGTATTCAATGATGCCGATTAAAAAGGTTAATATTATTATCAGGTAAAAATTGAAATTAAGATCAAAGGTAAAATAGAGTTTGTTAAGGTGACTAGATAACAACTTACTCTTTCATCCTTTGTCAAACAAACTTCCCCGGTTTTCTCCTCTCACTCACAAACACTCGTATCTTCTTCTCCACCATTGAAGCACTCATCCATCAATTCCATGAAACTTTCTTCCATTGAAGCTTCTTTTAATCCACATGGCCTTAGAGCTCTTCTTGTGGATCATAATCCTACCTCCCTCTTAATTCTTTCCAAAATGCTTCAGTTTTAACCATTATCAAGGTAATTCGTTACTACTCTATTAATTTATTATTATTATTATTCCGTTTGCATTCTACATTATTAATGCATGCGTGTTCTTGATCATACTCGCAGTTACACAATGTCGACGGCCTAGAGAAGCCTTATCGTTGATTAGAAACGGCCTAAGCAAGTTCGATATTGTGATAAGTAGTGTAGACTTCTCATCGGATATGAACGGAGTACAGTTTCTTGAGATTATTGGTCGCGAAACCAGTTTGCCTGTCGTTAGTAAGTCATTTTTCTAGTTATTATTTTCATTTACAGAAAATAATCACACTTATTTCGTTCAATTTCTATCCCTCGCAGTTGTATCTGCAGACGACAGAAGGATACGATTATCGAGTATGTAAAGAAAGGAGCGTGTGCTTACTTACCAAAACAGTGAGGATGGAGGATATTCAGTTTGCTATGGCAACACGTTGCTCGTAAAGAAGTACTCTGGTTTAGACAGATGAAACAGATTGATAGTACTGTGGAAAATGGCGAGACAGATTCCAATAATTGTGGTGAAGAAAAAGAGTTCTGTGGAAGCTCCGATGGTGGTCCGGTTCTGGTGGATCGCCGGAGAAAAGATAGAGATGAAGAGCAGGATAAGGTCGACGTAAGAAACAGCGGTTGGTTTGGACGGATGAGCTTCATCAACAATTCGTCGATGCTGTGGAACAACTCGGAAACAATAGTAATGAACTCTCACGATCTCTCTTTTATTTAGTCCAAACATGTGTTAATATTATCTTCATCAACATTTCTTGTACGTTTCATTGCCAGATGCTGTCCGAAGAAGGTATTGGAGCTAATGAACGTTCCTGGGCTCACGAGGGAAAACGTTGCGAGCCATCTACAGGTTCAAACTGCAAAAAGTTTGTTCGAGTTTTACCAACAGTTTAGCAAGCATTAACATTTTCGTATCTTAATTAATGTTTCAGAAATATAGGTTAAATCTCAAAAAGCAAAGTGGGTATGTGCAAGAAAGTATCCCCGGTGCCAAATTCTGTTCAGGCGTTCCAGTGATCAGACACAACGAGTTGTGTTCAAACAACTCAATCGACCACTGAACTACAATCCCCACTTGTGTTGGATCATCAGTACTATATGGATCTTGGAAGCAACTCGATCTTATACCGAACGATAGGTTTCATGAGCCTAATCATTGTTAAATTGTAAGTATGCAGACGTGCCATGCAGATGTTGTAATTAAGAGGTTAGATAACGGTTTTTTCTATGTTGGCCATTGTTTATGAAGTCATAGCATCGTACAACTGTTAAGATTTATGGAGTTTTGAACAAATTGACAAGTTTCCTAAAAGTTCAAGGGCCATAAATGAAACTTTGAAATATTAAACAATTGAATATGAAATGGACGATCCAATTATGGAGCACACCTTGTTGAATTCATTTGTTGGACTGTCAAAGTTTTGGACGGCAAATAATTGGACGGTGGAAAAAATTGTCAAACACATGCATGAGAATTATTTTTTCAAACTATGCGGCAATCTTGTGCATATTGCGGCTCACAAATATACCCTATATATATGCATGTATGTTTTGAATATTTTGGTGCAAAAACTTGAGAGAACATCAGTGTAGAGTGTCAAGCAATTGTAATCTTGTGAGTTTTAATAAAATTCTCTAGTTGCAGCCCGTGGACGTAGGATTTAACACCGAATCCGAACCACGTAAAATCCTTGTGTTCTTTATTGCTTTATTTCCTTCTCGTTTCGTTTGTGAGTGTGTGATAGTGTTTCCGCTGCGTGTACCCTGTCTCAATTCCTAACAATTGGTATCAGAGCCTGGTTAGCGAGGTTTTGAGGGTACGATCGTTTTTTCTGTCACATACGAGTGTACCTAATTTTTTTTTGTTTGCCGTAATGGCTGAAGACAAGGTTATAATCGAAAGGTTCAATGGTTCTGATTTTAGCTGGGAAAATGCAATTAGAAGCATTGCTATGTAAGAAAGACTTGGACGTGGTACTCGGAGACAAACCGGAGAAAATGGAAAAACTGCTGAAGATGCGTGGAACTCAAAGGACAAGAAAGCCAAGGCGGTTATTACATTGTCGTTGACGAAGAGCGTTGCTTTCAACATCATGAATGAAACACGGCGCGTGGTATGATGGAGGCTCTGTCAATATGTATGAGAAACCATCGGCGGCTAACAAGGTGTTCTTGATGAAGGAGCTGTTCACTACAAGGATGAATGAGGAAGGCTTAGTTACGGTTCACATTACAAGCTAAATTCAATTCTGTCCAGATTATCATCTGTGGGAATTAAATTTGATAATGAGACTCAAGCTTCGCTGCTACTAGCTTTCTACCTGATAGCTGTCCGGAACAGTTACTGCTGTTACAAGTTCCGTGGGACCAGTGGTATGACTTTTGAAGGGTTAGAGATTTGGGTAGGCGAGGATATCAGACCAAGAATCAAGGTGGATCTTCCTCTTCTGATTTATTAAATGTCGGAAGAGGTAGAGGGAATAGCAGGAATAGTGGGAGCAGTGGGAGTCGGGGAAAAAGTTCTTCTAGAACTTTGAAGAATGTGAAATGTTGGAACTGTCAAGAAGTGGGACATGTAAGAGTCAATGTCCAAAGAAAGAATTGAACATTGCTGATGCTGAGAATTTTTCTAGGATGATGCATTGTTACTCAGTATGGAAAGTTCTGTGGACTCTTGGGTCATGGATTCAAGGGCTTCGTTTCACGCCATGGACAACGGGGAAACGATGGTGAATCGAAAAGAAGGAGATTTTGGGAAGGTACGATTGGCAAATGACGAGATGCTTCAAGTAACGGGCATGGGAGATATTGATCTAGTTTACTTCATTAGAAACTACATGGAGCCTGAAGAATGTCAGGGTTATTCCGGAGCCTGAAGAAAAATTGATTTCTGTTGGTCAGCTGATAAACAAGACTGGAAGTAAGGTTTCGTGGTGGTAAATGGATGGTGGTCAATGGTAATTCGGTGATTGCTCAAGGTTGAAGCGTGGGTCAAGTGTATATGGGTTGAGGTACCTGCTGAGGGAGTATGACCATCCCGATTAAGCAAAACAAAATCTGTTCGCTAAATCTACTGCTAAGAGAGTTCATTTTGCAAACATGAATTCTGGAGCCAAGGGGAGTTTAGCTGAACGAGTCGGAAATTCTAAACCATTCAGGGGATTCTGTGACAGTGGGAGCACGGGGTGTGTCCCGGGTACAGTTACAAAGAGCCGTTGGGGTTTTGAAGACTAAGACTGGAAAATTCCTCTTGTTGGGAAGTTTGGCAAAGTTTGGAGAGTGTTAGTGGTCCTTTGGTGTATCTCTGGATCTGGTGGAGTGTCCAAACCGGTTGAGACAGAGGATGAGTCGGTGGTGGGATTAGCCACGACTGAGTTTGGAGCTAGTGGGAGCTTCAACTGGCCCTTCTAGTACTTGAAGATGAGGGGCGCTGCAATTAGAGAAATCAGACTAAGTTTTAGCTTGTTCTTTGAAACTGGAAGCTTGAAGGACTTGGTTGTTTTTTAAGATTACTGGAGTAATTGAGAGTTGAATGGCGGAGAAAAA